CCACCATGGAGCTGTGGGCTCGGTGTGCAGTACCAAAAGCATCATTGACATAGACATCCCCAAGTTTGGACAGTGAGGCTCGGAAAGCATCAATTTTGGCTGGTTCAGCTTTAATCTTGTTCCCAGAAGCATCCTTTCCCTTCCCTTCTTCCTCCACATGAAAGCGGAGGTTCTCCAGCAGGATGACAGTGCCAGCTGCTGGGTTGGCACAGGCATTCTCAACTTCTGGGCCCACACAATCCTTTAAGAAGAGAACATCCTTGCCCAGCAGAGACCTGAGTTCTGCCACAACTGGCTCTAAGGAGTACTTGTCAGGCATGGGAACACCATCAGGTCGGCCCAAGTGGCTCATAAGGACAACTGACTTGGCTCCATTGTCCAAGCAGAAATTGATGCTTGGGACAGCAGCCTTGATCCTTTGGTTATTTGTTATCTGGTTGTTCTTCATAGGAACATTGAAGTCCACCCTCATCACGACCCGCTTTCCCTTCACGTCCAGTTTGTCCAAAGTCAGCTTGTTAGAAAGTGACATTTTGGCAATGCGGGAGGATCAAGAGGCTCGGTCCTGAGGAAGAGGAGATTGCAAGATTATTAATCTGGGTATTCCATTAATGCAGTAGGTCATGGCCCCATAAATTCACATATGATCTCAGCCTTCCACTCTGTCCTTCTGGCCCTATGCATTCAACCCATCTTGTGTTTCTTTCACTTTGAGATATGGTCCCAATTCCTAGTAATTGAACATCTGCCTCTTGAAGAGGCCAATTTGGAAGCCAAGATTCTGGAGTAATGATACTCATGTCTGTGCCCATGTTTATCAAACCCACAATTACAATGCCATTTATACAAGCACACTTAGGTTTGGTATTTGATCATTTATAGAAGTCTGCAAGAATATACATTTCCTACTTCCTATTATAAATTTTTATTTATTCTCCATGTTTATTCCATTATCCAGAACAGTATGGTCTTTTACAGAAGGCTCTGGATTTTTTTTTATTTTCCTGGTGGAACATGTCCTTCACAGTGACTGGGAATGACTAGACCACTTTTGGCTTGGGGACCTGCAAGAGGCCCCCCAAGGAGTTTCCCAAAGGCATCAGGTTGCCTTGTCTGTGTTTTGCTGATCTGCATTCATTGGTCCAATGTTGACCTTTGCCACACCTTCTACATATACCTCAAGGCTGAGTCCTCCTATTCTTGCCATTCCCAGAGGAGACATTATTTCTAGGAATTCCTTGTCTGCAGTCCCTTCTCAGATGTCCTATTCTATTATCATTAAAACATTTGGCATTTTGGTATCTCCTCATTCCTTTGGAAATTGCTCTTCCTACCCAAGATTACGTGTTATAGTCAAATCTCTCAATACTCATTTGTATGCAGAATCCATTCATCCATCTAACCTTTAAAGGCCCAAGATTCTTTTTGCATTCTAATTTGGCATTTTCTTTTTTTTTCTTTTTTGTTTTGTTTTTATTGAGCTCTACATTTTTATCTGCTACCCTCCCTGCCTCTCCCCTCCCCTTCAACCCTCCCACTAGGTCCCCACGCTCCCAATTTACTCGGGAGATCTTGTCTTTTTCTACTTTCCATGTAGATTAGATCTATGTATGTCTCTGTTAGTGTCCTCATTGTTGTTTAAGCCCTCTGGGATTGTGATGTGTGGGCTGGTTTTCTTTGCTTTATGTTTAAAAACCACTTATGAGTGAGTACATGTGATACTTGTTTTTCTGGGTCTGGGCTACCTCACACAAAATGATGTTTTTTAGCTCCATCCATTTGCCTGCAAAATCAGGATGTTGTTATTTTTTCTGCTGTGTAGTATTCCATCGTGTAAATGTACCACATTTTCCTTATCCATTCTTCGATCGAGGGGCATCTAGGTTGTTTCCAGGTTCTGGCTATGACCAACAATGCTGCTATGAACATAGTTGAGCACATGTCCTTGTGGCATGATTGAGCATCCTTTGGATATATACCCAAAAGTGGTATTACTGGGTCTTGAGGAAGGTTGTTTCCTAATTTTCTGAGATATCACCATACTGACATCCAGAGGGGCTGTACCAGCTTGCATTCCCACCAGCAATGTAGGAGTGTTCCCTTTACCCCACAACCTCTCCAGCATAAGTTGTCATCAGTGTTGTTGATCTTGGCCATTCTTACAGGTGTAAGATGGAATCTCAGAGTTGTTTTGATTTGCATTTCTCTGATGACTAAGGATGTTGAACATTTCCTTATGTGTCTTTCAGCCATTTTAGATTCCTCTCTTGAGAGTTCTTTGTTTAGGTCTGTGCTCCATTTTTTAAAATTAGGTTATATGTTCTTTTGATGATGAATTTCTTGAGTTCTTTGTATATTTTAGAGATCAGACCTCTGTCTGATGTGGGGTTAATGAAGGTCTTTTCCCATTCTGTAGGCTGTTGTTTTATCTTGTTGACCATGTCCTTTGCTTTACAGAAACTTTTCAGTTTCATAAGGTCCCATTTATTAATTGTTTCTCTCAGTGTCTGTGCTGGGGTTATAATTAGAAAGTGGTCTCCTGTGCCAATGCATTCAAGTGTACTTCCCACTTTCTCTTTTATGAGGTTCAGTGTGGCTGGCTTTATATCGAGGTCTTTGATCCATTTGGATTTGAGTTTTGTGCATGGTAATAGATATGAGTCTATTTTCATTCTTCTACATGTTGATATCCAGTTATGCCAGGACCATTTGTTAGATATGTTTTCTTTTTTCCCATTTGATATTTTTTGCTTCTTTGTCAAAAATCAGGTATTCGAAGGTGTGTGGATTAATAGTTGAGTCTTTGATTTATTTCCATTGGTCCTTCTGACTGTTCTTATGCCAATACCAGGCTCTTTTCAGTACTGTAGCTCTGTAGTAGAGTTTGAAGTCAGGGATTGTGATGCCTTCAGAAGTTCTTTCATTGTAGAGGATTATTTTGGCTATCCTGGGATTTTTGCTTTTCCATATGAAGTTCAGTACTATTCTTTTTAGTTCTGTTAAGAATTTTGCAGGGATTCTAATAGGCATTGCATTGAATATGTAGATTGCTTTTGGTAAGATTGCCATTTTTGCTATGTTAATTCTACCTACCCAAGAGCATGGTAGAGCTTTCCACTTTCTGGTACCTTCTTTCCCTGCTCATCAGTTCCAATAATTTCCTTAGTCATTTCAAATCTTTTTACTACTGTCCTTTGTAAAGGCTGAATCTCCTGGACTATATATATTTCTAATGATTTCATTGAGTCACCTAGACTCTGGTCCTCATTCTGCACATGTGATTTCAAGGTTTGAAGTTTTTCCTTTAAAGATAACTACTCATCCTTGACATTATTTGGATAGTGTGAAGATTCCCTTCCTGGAAAGATAGTCTATCTGCTAACCTATCATAACTTTTTAACAAATTTTGATTGTTAAATTCAAAGTATGAATTCTTTCAGAAAATATCTTAGTATCCTTTGACATGGATTCAAAATACTGGCAAATCGAATTCAAGAACACATCAGAACCATCATCTACCATGATCAAGTTGGCTTTATCCCTGAGGGATGGCTCAGCATATAAAAATCTGTCAATGTAATCCACTATATAAACAAACTGAAAAATAAAAACCACATGATCATCTCATTAAATGCTGAGAAAGTTTTCGACAAAATATAACATCCCTTCATGATAAAGGACTTGGAGAGAGCAGGGATACAAGGAACCTACCTAAACATAATAAAGGCAATATACAGTAAGCCAACAGTCAACATCAAACTAAATGGAGAGAAACTCCCAGAAATCAGGAATAAGACAAGATTGTCTACTCTCTCCCTAACTGGGGGTGGGTGGGTGGATATTGTGCACAAGCTTGGGAAATTTCCAAGTTGCCACACGCAGTTAGCTCTGCTGTGGTGGGGGGGTTTACAAAACCCACTTAGGAGGTAAAAGCAAGCCAAGCGGGTAGGGGTGGGAGACTTTCTGGGCTATGGACTGGTTAGGCCTTTAAGCCAGTCCACCGGGTTAGGTGTGGAGTTCAAATCCATGTGGGTGCCAGATGAAGACGGAGACTAAAAAGAAATCCCACACTAGCTCATAATTGAGTATAATAAAGGGTTATTAATTTAGAGGTAGACTAACAGGTCATAATCCTCTGCATGAACAGGAAACAGGAACCAAATCACGTAGCCAGAAGAGAGGGCAACCGCACTCTTTATATTGGCATTTATAGTATAAGAGGCCATGCCCAAGTGGGCAAGTAACTTAAAGGCTACTGGCGGTAGGAATTCCTACAGCAATCTGAGAAACACAAAACAATGACACACTCCTGCATATTTCATAGAATGGTCATGCCCAGCACACCTATACCACCAAACATGGATGAGGGCACAGACTACCCAGAATGCTCACCCCTTGCCAATAGGAATGTAAAATGGTATGACCACTTTGGGAAACAGAGTGGTGGTTTCTCGTAAAAATATACATATTTCATTTTTTAACTAAATACATTCTTACCACATGATCCAGCAACCACACTCTTTTATATTTATTCTAAGAAGATTAAAACTTAGGTCTACACATGGATATTTATGGAAGCATTATTCATAATTGGCAAAACCTAAAAGCAACTAAAATGTCCTTTCGTAGGTGAATGGATAGACAAACTGTGGTACATCTAGAAAATGCAATATTATTCAGGACTGAAAAATCAAAGAACCATCAAGTCATGAAAAGGTAGGGGAGAAGGTTGAATGCACACTACCCTGTGAGAAGAGCCAATCTGAGAAGGCTGTGCCCTGTGGCAGTCCTACACAGGGGAGGGGGTGGCAGAAAGACCAGAGGTTGCTAGGGATTGAGGGCAAAAAAATGATGAAGAGACAGAGCATAGAGAGTGGGGAGGGCAGGGAAATCACTGTCTGGTACTATAGTAGTAGATTATGTCATTGTTTTGTTTTTCTAAAGAACTAAGAGAAAACCCTAGTGTCAGCTGTGAGTTTTAAGTAAGATGGTGTTTCACTGAAGACTCATCGGTTACCCCAGTTGGACCACTCTGATTGATAGTGGGGGGGACATGTGAGAAATTTACAGATGGGGTGTTTAGTTTTTCTAGGAACCTAGGTTTCCTATTCTCTCCCTCCTTCCTTACCTCCTTTCCTCATTCCTTTCTTTCCTCCCTCCCTTCTTCTTTTTCTCCATCCTCTCTCCTTCCCTCCCTTCCTTCCTCTTCTCTCCCCTCCTTCCTTCCTTTTCCTTTCCCCATCTCCCTTCTCCCCTCCCCTCTTCTCTTCTCTCTTCCTCTATTTCTTTCCTTTTCCTCTCTTCTTTTTGCAAGTCTACATTCAATCCCAAGTCACTCTCGTTGGCCTGCAGAGCATCAGCATCTAGGAAAGCCTCAGCTGATGACTATCTGCTGTGTTGCCGTTCTTCCCAGGCTCACAGCTGTGCTGGATACATCTTAGTTAATAAATGCCTGCTCTTTCTGAGCTGATAGCATGGCTCCTCCTGCTAAGAGCCAGGTATGGGGTAACCCAGGAACATTTTACCTTGGGCATGTTGGCAAAGGACATCCCTTCTCATCTGGTACTGAGAATC